AACCTGGGATAGCAGAAGGTGTCCCTGCCCATGGCAGGGGTGGAATGAGATGAGTTTTAAGGTCCCTCCAACCCAAACCAGTCTGGGATTCTGTGATTTACTGGGAACAGGCAGCAGGCACCAAGCTGAGTTGGGCAGGGTGAGCTGTGATGCAGTTTGGCCATTCAGGCACAGGGAGAACCAGGGAACAACTTTCCATGGGATTCAGTCTGGACACCATGATATCACTGGTCTGCAGGACAGAGCAATCCACTGACTAAAACTCTACTTCCAGAGTGACTCTGCTGGAAAGGGCCAGCCCAGGTCCCAAACACAGACACTGCAAACCCCAGGAGCAGTTCCTGCTCTCTGGAAGAGCCTGAGGGGGGTCAGCACAGGCTGTGGGACATGGAGCCCCAGCTGGATCAGCTCTCAGAGCTGTGTCCCCGGGGGGGAAGCAGCAGCTCAGCTCTGTCACCCTCCTCTCCTCCCTGCAATGCCCATGTTCTGCAGCAGCAGCTCAGTTCATGGCAAAAGTGCTTGTGTGGCTGGAGAAGGAATCGAATTTGCCCCTTCCAATGATCGGGATCTTTACTGAGCCCCCATGGGATAGACTCCAAGTTTTTAGGGTTCTGTACTGTGCCACTGTCCCTACCCCTGTGACATTATTTGCCCTCCCCTCACAGACATCCCACAGCCTCCTGGACCACTGAGGTTGGAAGAGAATGTGCCCAGCACAGTGACAGTGACCTGGGAACCGTCAGCATCTGAGAAGTGGGAGAAGAACCTCTACTACACCGTCCTGAAACGGGAGTCCCAGAAGGGCGTGTGGTGCGTGGTGGGGGACCTGCTCTACAACAACAAGTTCACGTTCACCAGCGTGATCCCAGGCAGGGATTATTACTTCAGGGTGGTGGCCAAGAACAGCCTGGGAGCCAGTGCTCCATCTGAAACCGTGCAGCCTTGGAGGATTCGAAAGGCAAAGGGTAAAACAGCTTTTACAGATATTTCTCTGTGTGTGTTGTCGTGCTTGGTTTCTTTTATTGTTTCTAACACCCCATCCTGAAATGGGTCCCTCCTCCTAGGAATGTTTAGTTGCCCAGAACAGGAATGCCTAGAGGTACCCTGAGGAATTCCAGTTTTGTCCTTTCTGCAGGGACATTGTGCAGAGAGTCCCTTCACTCCCAGCCCTTATATTGTGGCAATCTGCCACAAAAGGAATTCTGGGAAAAACCTATTAAGAGTTGCAGAAACCAAAGTTTGTGGCTCCAAAGTGAAATCCAGGGTCACGTGAGAAGCAGCACAGGTTGCAGTCCATGGGTGCATGGGATCTCTGGGAATTGCAGTGTGGAATTCCAGGCTCTTGGCAGCCCAGTGTCTGACTGAAAACCAGCCCTGCAAACTTCCCTGCTGGGAGCTGGACCCGAGGGTGTGTTCGTGTGTCGCTGTTTGTTTTTCACAGCTGAGATCTGGGTCAGACCCCAGAGGTACAGGGGAGTCAACCAAAACCAGCACCCGAGGTTCCTCGTCCCGCTGAAGCCCCACGTGGTGGTGACAGGCAGTGAGTGTCACATGAGCTGTGCAGTGGGGGGCCACCCCCCCCCAAAAGTCACCTGGTACAAAGACAACAGAGACCTCTCCAAGGATCCAAACTACTTCTGCACAAACGACTTTGGAGTCTGCTCCCTGGTCATCCTGGGGGTCACCAAGCAGGACGCAGGAGAATACATGGTGGAAGCCTCCAATGAAGTGGGTCGTGTCTCCAGCAGAGCCTTCCTCGCCATCAAAGGTAAAATCCACAGTGCTCTTCCTCCCCTGGGGGATGCCAGCGGGTGTCCTTGCTGCCCAGGGCCCCAAAAATGATCCCGTGCAGCTCTACCTGCTGCCAAGTGCAGCCTCCTGCTTTATTGAACTCCTGATTACCTTTTTAGTGATTAAGAACAGAACAGAACTAGAAACTGAAAGGCAGATGTGAAAAAACCCACTCGGTTTCTATGTGAGGCAGAGGTTTGGGTTGGCTCTGATCAAATTTTTTAGAAAGAACAATCCCATTTTCCTTGGATAAGAGGTAATATCTTGGTTGGGTTTATCCCCAGTGAAGGAGCTGCAGAATAAAGATCCTGCAGATGTGCAAGTGGAGGGGGAGCAGTGAGGGAACAAGGAAGGTTTGGTGGCCAAAGGCAATGGGAAGGGAGGAAAGGGAGGGACATGGTGAGGGCCACTGGGATCCTGATGGGAATGGAGGAGAAGTGGGATTGACTAAGGGTGGATAAACTTATGGATAAATATTGCTGGTGATTGTATCTAGTGAAATATCCTTTCTTTTGAGCCAAATATTTTCCTTTTAATGCAAAACCCCTTGGTGGGATGACACGAGTGGAGAAACGGGTCAGTTAAACCCCCAGATTTCCCAGAATATTCCAAGTTGGAAGGGACCCACAGGCACCATCCCTGTCATCCTTTTGCAGACATTGGTCTTTTTGGCCCTGTAAGTTTTCAGCTCCCCCTTTCCAGGGAGACTTTTCAGGCTATTTATCATCTCCTTCATCACAACACTGAGCCACTTCTCTTTCTCTTATTTCCAGACTCTGCCCTGTAGCTTGACCCTGCCAAGAACATCCCTGCCCTGCTCTGTGGATGAGAAGGTTTCAGTGAGGACTGGTCCATCCTAAGCCTGTGCATTTATTTTCAGATGTTCACTGGAGCCCAAGGGGTTTATTTTTCACACCCAGTAATTGCATTTTGAACACGACACTGCGTTTTAGTCAAAATCAGGGGGAAAATGTTTCAAGAGAATTGTATTTTTATTTTTGTAATGATCATGGCTTTCCACTAAACCTTTAAAACACACATTAGAAGCTTTGGGAACACAGAAGATGAGAGGAAAAATAGTTGGCCAAAATGAAACTTTCCATGGAGAGCACAGGCAGCAGAGACCATCCCAGCACAGCCCTCACCTGCTGTCAGGCTGCAACAGGGACATTTCTGGCCACCAGAGATCTCTGGAGTTGGCCTTTCCCATGTGGTTTTCTAAGCCAAAACAACCCCTTTGGATTCCACTGCATTCTCAGCAGGTTTCCTAACTCTGGGAGAAGCAGTTCTGCATGTCTTGCCCTGCCAGTAGCAGCTCAGTATGTTGTTAAAAAGAACCTCTGCCTGCTCATTTTGACCTGGGTGAGAGATGAACTCTCAGCCCAGGCTGGCATGGAGGAGGTGGCACTCACAGTGCCAATGCCCTGCTGGGGAGGACTGGAATTCCAATCTGCCCCAGCTGTGGCAGCGTGAGCAGAGCAGCCCCACGGCTGTGCCAGCCCTGAACTGCCACCCCAGTGTCACCTCTGCACCCTCACTGCCCCTGGCTGTGGCACTGCTGGGATGGTTCTGCCTGGTGCAAACAGACCTTAAAAACCTTTCATGTCTGAGCAGAAATAAGAGGTACCAGCAGACACCTCCTGCCACCGTGGGGGGATTCCACCACTGAGAGGGGGAGACTGGAAAGCAAAATGTTCTGGGGAGTGCAGGGAGGTGTGACAGCCTGAGCACCAAGGTACTGCTGTGACAGCATCCAGGAGACAGGAGAGAACAGGTCAGAGACTCCAATTCCCTGGATCCTCAGACAACCAAACCCTCCCGTGGGGCCGAAATGTTCCCTTTGGTTACGTTTTGGACAACATTGTACAGACAAACTGGAGATTATTGAAATTAAACCCTAATTCAGTAAAATCTACCACGAGTACGTGTTTCTTTTGGAGGGGCAGCCCGGCCAGCTCCTGAGTGCCAGCCCCTGTCTGCTGCAGTTTTCACACCTTGATTCAAAGAAATCAAACTCAACACCTTGGTACTGTTAAGCCCTGTAATGTTGGGAATAACTCTTCCATAAACACTCCACTGAAACAAGGATTTCGTGAGCTTTTACTCCCTTTAACATCTCAAGCCTCTCCTTGACAGTCAATCATTTTATTCTTACAACATTAATCTTTAGTTAAAGGTAACCCAGACTTCTTTTACTTAAACAATCTTTGAAATAGTTTCATATTTTATTGCTACGAGACCTCAACATCAATTTTTAGGTGAAGATAACTTAAACTTCCACTTAATCTTTGATTGATTTAGCTCTCCAGAGTGTATCTTCATATCTTATCATTACAGGATTTATTGATTTACCTCTTTAGAGTGTAACAGTCTCCAAAACTAATCCAAGCTCCAGCTGCACAGGTTGCTGACCTCCTTAATTTTTACTCTCTATTTTTTTAGCAGGGTTTAGGTAAGGATTTCAAAGTTACAAAATTTAAGGACTTGTGGTGGGTTGACCTTGGCTGGAGGCCAGGTGCCCACCCAGCCACTCTCTCCCTCCCCTTCCCAGCCAGACAGGGGAGAGAGTGAGCTGGAAAAAACAACTCGTGGGTCAGGATAGGGCAGGTAAACATACACACTAAAATTCCATGTGGGCTCCCAAAACTGAACACGGACAAAGATTCCTCCCAGACAGAAGGTGCCAGGACAGAAAGGTCCAGCTCCCCACAGAGTGCCCAGGGTGGCCCACAAACTGCACCTGACAGCCAAAAATGACAGGCTTTCACTCCTGGGAGAAAGGGGAGAAAGGGCCGGGGTTTGGTTTTGGAGCCCTGCGCTGAAACTGCCGGTCCCACCCCCAAAATTGAACACGGACGAAGGTTCCTCCCAGACAAAAGGTGCCCTCACAGAAAGCTCTTCCTGCCCACGGGTCTGGGGGTG